GTGACGACGTCGACGTCGCGATCGAGGTAGTTGAAGATGAGTACCCGGATGTAGACCTCCTCGCCGCGGACGACGGAGTAAGGAAGGTCGAGTTGTGCGAAGAACGGACGAGAGACGGTGATCTGTGCAGGAGAGGAAACGTGTGACATTGAGATTTCACTGCATAGTAATGACGAAAGCTGCAATTGTAACTGCGTACGTAATTGTATACGGTCTTTTGTAATGATACAGGCATATACACACACACACGCACACATGCACACGCACGCGCACGCAAGGGTTAGGTAATAAACAAAAAACGTAAACAGTTACAATATTTAGCAAAGGTGTAGCGAGGTATACTTCTCCCCTATATGCAAAATACGTCGCATTGACACATGTCATTAGAGCACGCATGCGCACAAAAGTACTCAGTGTCACCTTGCGTCGATGCATTCAGATGGATTCTTGCCAATTAATTTAAATCGACAGTAAATTTGACGCGTCCGTAGAAATTCGGCTAAACATTTGCGAGTTCGCGGTAAACAACTCGAGTTACTAGACAATTATCGAATGTGAAATTGATGCCGTCACGCGTACGTTATGCTTTCATCGAATAAGACGTAGTTTGCCTGTCTAGCTCTTCCGTTGAAGTTGAGGTCATGCAGCAACAAGCCATCGATCGTTTAACGCTGACACGGGGAGTATAGCTAACAGATATGGCCAGCTGTCGGCAATGCAGGCATCAGCTGTATGCTGCATCATCGTCTATAGCAGCGCTCTGTGCTTACCTGGCTGATAGTATGCGTACGTCCTGACAGGCGTCGGCTTGAGGTTGGCGACTTGATATAGACGTTGGCCTCTCACCGTCGCGCACTTATCCATGTTCTCCTCAAACTACGAGAGCGAGAGAGAACACACGAATAAATCGATTATCGATACACGTTCGGTGTTGAATGGTCTCGCTCTTTTAATACTTGAATTGTCAATTTGCTCCTAGTTTACTTCGAAATTTCTTCCACTCATTTCTCTCCGTGTGTCTATATGTCTGTCTCTCTCACACTCTGTCTCTCTTTGCCGCTTTCTTGCTCTCTAATTCTCTCTCATTCCATTTCTCGTTGTCTCGATCTATCTCTATTTCTATCTCAACATCAACCTCCATCTCCATCTCTATCTCTATCTCTATCTTTATCTCTATCTCTATCTCTATCTCTATCTCTATCTCTATCTCTACCTCTATCTCTATGTCTATGTCTATCTCTATCTCTATCTCTATCTCTATCTCTATCTTTATCTCTATCTCTATCTCTATCTCTATCTCTATCTCTATCTCTACCTTTTTCTTTCTCTATCTCGTTCTCTACCTGCATGTACTACGTTACCTTCGCAGACTCCTCGGCTACACCGAGTCCCTGTGTTTCATGCATAGCGAACGCGCTGGCCACCCACGACGTGATGGTGTCCGGAACGTTGGTATGAATCGATGCAATGCCGTCCGCCCTGTTTCCAGCACAAACAACTATATCAGCACACGCACACATTACGAACGAACACAGAAATTCTTCGTCATATGATTACAATCCGTAATTAGCCCATCCGTCTGACGTGATTGCCTGGTAAGCCAATCCGCGCTGCGATAGAACGCTCCAAACATTCAGCAACGTGTCGTGATGTCGAGATTTTGACGCGTTCGCGTGCAACACGCGTGTAAAGTAGTCTAGCTTTACTCATCTAGCAGCAATATCGTGCAGCATGTGCAATTAAGCGGTTATTTTGTTCAGACGGATCGGTTAATTAATGTGGATACGGAAGGTATTTTCATGCGGAAACAACGATTAAAACGCCATTATAAACGTTCTGATATAAATGCTGTTGACGTGATGGCTTTAATCATGATGAATACAATATAAATAATATCGTTGATGAGTTGGAAATCTCGATACAAACTGAGAGTTAAAAAGTGAATTTATATCAAAGTTATCATGAATTTAGTCTACCCTAAGGGAAACCCGGAAATAAAATAAACGTATGGACATCAACAGTAATGTAAAATTATGTGTTAATAACGAACTAATCGATCAAAAATAAATGATCTCTTACATGCAGTTAAGCGACTACATATACGCACACACGTATCTATAAATATACGTATATGTATATAATGTTATAACCTACAAAAAAATAAATATAACACGGACACAGCAGAACAGTTTGCTCAGTGCAGATTCACGGTAAGTCACGATATATGAATGATATTCGCGCTTGCTCTGTCTGTCTGTCTGACTGACCCACACACTCCCTCTTTCTCTCTCTTTCCCCCTTCCCTTCTCTCTGATAGAGGCAGCGATGATTGCAGCCAGTCAGCCAGCCAGTTAGCTAGCCAGGTATGAGATGGTTGAACGAAGCGCACGTATAGACAGAGTGTGTGAACGTATATTAGTGATGTAGCTGCGAGGAAGCCACGTCCACTCAAGATTCACGAATTGAATATAAATAAACATAACAATAAAGATTAAATAAA